CCCTTTAATATAAATGTTCATTTCTCCAAGCCCTCTGTATAAAAAATAAGTATACAGGATGATCTTTTATTTTCATAATTTTGTCCTTCAGTTAAAAATAAATGCATCCTTCAACATCCTTTGTTTACTACTGATCTTAGAAATGTCTGCTTTTAATCACACCACCCGGTTCAATTTGGAATACTGCGTATCAATTATCCCCATTACTAGTTGGTCTTCCCTTTCATTTTGACATCTGTTAGAAGAAGCAGCTTGAGGAAGAGCTTCACTATCAATTTTTCAAAAGAGCCTTCTGACTTGATAAAAAAGGATCATCTAAATTATATGTCTTCATCAACTGTACCTAATACTTTGTTCAAGCATAATCCTGTTCCTTGGCAGCCATTCTTTTAGTTCACCATGTTCGGTCCACCTTATTTAATGATTCATAAATGCTATATACACATATTGTCTTATACAGTAACTTCCCATGTGGACTTTGATCTTATTTAGGCTTGCTACCAATGCTCTTATGTATCCTCCTTAATGTCTCTTGGTTTTCAAATCAAAAATTTTTCAGAAATTTTAAAATTAATAAAATGAATCAAAATATAAGTTGGAATTCAGTTCCAAATCAAATGAATGGATGACCCAGCGTCACACTAGTGGATCCTTTCTAACGATTAAATATCCCCACTAGGGGCGCCTGGGTGGCTCAGTTGGTTAGGCGACTGCCTTCTGCTCAGGTCATGATCCCGGAGTGCCAGGATCGAGTCCTGCATCAGGCTCCCTGCTCAGCAGGGAGTCTGCTTCTCCCTCTGACGGACCCCCTCATGTGCTCTCACTCTCGCTCTCTCTCAAATAAATAAATAAATAAAATCTTTAAAATAAAAAATAAATAAAAATAAATAAATATCCCCACTGTAAGCCTAAAAAGGCAGAAACCTCATTATAACTTGAGACAACCCAATGAATCTCTTGTTGGGAAGAAAGTGGGTCAAAACTAGAAATTCACAGTTATTTTTGTTAAGATCTGATAATAATATTCAACTTGGAAAAGATAAGTAAAACCGCAAAACACAAAACAAGCTATTACTCATTTTTCACAAATATTTCATTACATAATCATTTTAGAGGAGCAAATCTTCGGATACTATACAGACCAGTATCTACTCCTCTATCTTCCTAAGAAATCTACCAGTATTCAGCAGTTTTTGTGAAAAGGTCATCAACCATTGCCCTTGAAGTGTTTTCTTTTTTGTCATATCCTGCTTGCCTGTGACAGGGTAATAAATACTACTCCACGCTAAGAAATAAATGAGGAAGAGTTTGCTATATTTTTTTCCATGCTTGAACCAATACATTATTCTAAATCTTTGGGAATTAAAGGAGTAATTATCTCAGCATTAGAATCATCTTGGATTTCTTGCATCCCACTGCCAAAACAAATTTGAATACCACAGGGAGAAGAATGTGACACATCCCCTTAACTGGTTTCAAAAATTACCTAGCACCTCCTCTTTCACCAAAATCTTGGATACTATTAGATTCTAATCTCATTGCTTTACAGAAAGTGAGTAATCAGTGAGATGCCCCAACTGTCGTGTACAAAATGCGGGACTCCAACTCTACAAGCCTGTAAAGAAAGGGGAAAGGATGAGCAGCTGTACTGAGGAAAGTAAAATGAGGCAGGACAATGTCAGGCAGATTTCATTGAGGTAACATTACACTTTCATTCTATGCTTCTTGAGAGCAAGTAACTTTAATTAATTATTAACCAGTACTTTTCTTTTTACCTATCCCTGGGTAGATATAGATAGCATATGTGTTTGCATTTCTTCCTCTGGGTCGGCAGGTAGCTATTGTTATAGACTTTCACCAGTGGCAGGCAAATCACGGGGCTCACATTGCTCAGAGTCTAACACTCCCCATCTCACTGCACCATCCTCAGTCTGTCAGCACTGCCTCTTTGGCCCAATGGATGCTAAGAGCTAACTAACAGTGGTGCAATGTCCCATTCTGTCACTGAAGAGACTACTGGTCAGCTCACAGCAATAGAATGCTGCCAACCATAAATCTGCATGCCAAAAATGGGAGGGATATTTTTTTATATTGGCTCTAAACTTCCAGATTTGCAACCTCACTTTCTGCTAACAACTAAGTTGCTGCATGCCAGAAGCAGATGAAAAAAAAGCAATTGAAACTCAGAGGACAGTAAGTTGATAGAGCAATGCAGGTGAAGGATACAGAAGTATTAAGGAAAAAGAAAGAGTAAAGAAGAAGAAAAAGAAGGGGGAAAATGATTTTAAGCTTTGAGAAAATAAACAAAGATGCTTCTGATTTGGCCCCAGTGGGCCAGCCTGATAGCCATTACTGACTGATCTACCTCCTTGGAGGATTCAAATTAGAGGGGAGCCACACCTAAGTGCTGGCACAAGATCTCTAAAATTCCACTTTCCTCCTGCCTTGTTGCTTGTAGAGTCCAGCCACTCAACACCCGCTACCAATGCCCTCCATGTTGACATAATCACAGTGCAGACGCCAAGCTCATCAACATGCTGATGCAATTATTCCATCGAGATTTTTATATTTAATCTGATTTTTTTAAGTCTCCATACCAAAGATGCTCCTTCTCAAAAGAAATATTTTCTTCTTGTCCCTTTAAGAATACAGAAAGACCATTAACAATACAAAATATTATATTGGAAATTCTGAAGAATTTTAAAAGACAATTAAATGTTTTAGTTGAAGTAGAAAGGCTATAACCCTAGGTAGGTTCCCACTCACAGATGGGCCTGAGATGACATGTCATTGACCCAATCTTTCAGTCTAAGTTCTTCCTCTATAAATTAGGAATAGTACAACTAAGGTCACACAGATCATTGAAGGCTTAGTAAAACACAAGGTTCTGCTCATGACGTACTACAACTTCATTTGCTTATGATGCTCCCACAGACCCACCTCAGACAACAAAAATCCACTGAAGAAATGAGTTCATGTAGAACTCTATTTTCCCCCCCGTTTTTTTTTTTTTTTTTTTTTTTTTTTTTTTAGTATTTTATTTATTCATTTGAGAGAGAGAATGAGCTAGAGCATGAGAGCGGGAGAGGGTCGGAGGGAGAAGCAGACTCCCCGCTGAGCAGGGACCCAGGGACCCCCCCCCCACGCGGGACTCGATCCCGGGACTCCAGGATCATGACCTGAGCCGAAGGCAGCCGCTCAACCAACTGAGCCACCCAGGCGCCCTCGCCCAAGTGTTTTCTTTAGTATTATCTCATGACAAGAGCGGTAAGGCAAGTATTATGAGACACATTTTACAAATGCAGAAACCGAGTCCCAGGGAGATGTGCAGACCTGCCCCAAGCCACGCAGCTAGTTACTGGCTGAGAAATGATAACAACCAAGTCTCCTCAGTGATCTTTTTATTCCAAACTCTAAGATTCATTAAATATCAAGAAATAACCTGCACAGAATCAATAACAACTTGTAATCAAGCAAAGATAAATGAACGATTGCACCAGGCTTTTTTCCAGTTTGATGAGAGATATTAATATTTAACATACTCTGCTTAAAAATTTAAACATCCAATGCCAGGATATTTACAATTCAAAAAGCCACAGGTGTTCATGAACAATAGGAAACCTCTATAATATGTTCGAAGCCAACATCCTCTTGATTCATTCTGGTCACTGTCTTTTAAATGTAAGCTTTTGTAAGGTGTTATCCTAAGCTACAACTCGAAGGAAAGCAGAGGCTTGACTTTCTATTACCAACTCATGTCTCACTCAGCGTGAATTTCTTCTTGTTTGCTAATAAATAGAAACATACTGAAGTACCCACAAGTAAGCTAATAAACACGTTAAGTCTTCGCAAGGGACTCCAATGGTTTGGGATTTGTTATACCTGAATTAAACCATACTCCATCTTCCAAGCTATTTCTGTACATATTTTGTGCTCCCACTACAGCTTTAAGCCCCATAGAGTTCTGTGTGAATTCCCCATAGCTCAATGCGGAGTCTCGGCCGCCCAAAACAGTGCCACACAGAAACCTGTACGAACAGAGCCACCTTAAGAGTTACCCACACAGACGCATCAAAAAAAAGCACACACGCACTCAAATAAAAACACACAAAACCAATTCTCTGATTTTTTTTTAAGTGTCAGCTCTTCAACCATTCCAGGTTACTTAAGTAGAAAAAAGTCCCTTTCACATAACAGTTGAGTCAGGGGCACCAGGGGCCCCATCTTCACGTCAACCCGGGTTCTCAACCGAAAACGCCTCGTCCTTGATCCATTCACTGCGCAGATTCCAGCACTGGAGGCGCCGGCGATCTGCGCTCTGCGCTCGCCTCCTATGGCTTTAGCCAGCTTTGGAATAACCGGGCCCCTCCTGCTCACACCCTTCTCACAACATTTTTGCACTTTGCGTGGGTCTGATCCAGGCCTCCAGCCTCCCGTTCCCTGGTCCCAGCTTGGAGGAGTCTGAGCGGCAACTGGGGCGTCAGACAGGAGAAGTGGGTCCCCGCCTGCCCGCTCAGGCTGTCGCCACGACTCCATCCCCCGGCGTGGAGGTTGGAGACATCCGGCCGGGGCGGGCGACAGTGCGAGGCCGGCGACTTCCTCGCCATCCCCGCAGCTCGGCGTCTTCCCGCCTCCGCCCGGACCACCCTCGGGTCCCCCCGTCCCCGGGGCGCAAAGCTGGGGTCCGAGTGGGTAAGGGGAGTGAGGCAACACGCGTGTGCGAGGGTGTGAGTGCCGACACACAACAGCCGGGCAGCAAACCCCGCCTCTCCCCGAACTCCCGCCTCGGACCAGCCAGCAGCCCGGGCGCCCCAGGGCTCCCCGCTCTGGGACAAAGCTGCCACGGCCTCCCCGCAAGCGCGGGGCGCGTCGTCGCCGGGTGTCCTCAGTCTCCCTCGGCCGCGACTCCGTCCCAGGGGGCCTCCGGGCCGCCGGGGGTCCGGGGAAGACCCGGGGCCCGGCTCCCGCAGCCCTCACCCCGCGCCCCCGCCGCCGCTCACCTGTTCAGCACTTTGCGGATCCTCTGGCGTACGCCAGCCCGGGAGGAGGCGGACAGGCTGCCGCCGCCGCCGCTGCCCTCGGCCGGCAGGTTCTCGATGGTGGTCACCACATGGTTCGGCGGGGCCGGCGGTGGCGGCTGCAGCTGCTGCTGCGGCGGCTCAGGGGGGATCATCGCGGCGGAGGCGGCGGCGCGGCGGCGATCAGAACGCAGCCGGGCGCATCGTGCGCCGGCTCGGGGCCCGGGAACGCGCAGAGGACCCGGCCGGGCGGCCGCGGCCCGGGGAGGCGGTGCTGCCTGCGAAGCGGCGAGGCGGGGAGGTACCCGCGGCTACGGCCGCCGCCGCCGCCCAGCCCGCCACTCACTCCTCTCCCGTCCCGGTGCGCGCCCCCTCTCTCCGCCGCCGCCGTCTCCCGCCCCGACTCTTCCCGAGCCGTGTCCCCAAGTCCTGGCACACCCCGCGAAGTGGCCGGGAAGGGGGTCGCGCACGGCCGCCGAGCTGCCCGTCGGCTCAGTAGACCCCCACGGAGAGAGGGGATGGGGCTCCGGGCTTTGCCTTCTCTCCCGGCGCCCGGGTCTTCTCCGGCGAGCGGCGCAGTTGTGCTGGCGCCGCCTCAGCCTGTCCCCCGCTCGCTCGGAAAGCTGCCGTCTGTGTCTCACGGAGTGAGAGACCGAAGTGAACCCGGAGAGCCGGGCGGGGGCGCCGCGGCGGCGGCGGCGGCGGCGAAGGGGGGCCAGGGCGGGGACACGCGCTCTCCGTCTTCGCCAGAGGGCGCTCCCGAGGCGCCTCATTGCCCCGACCCTCTTTCCCGGTCCACCGGAGGCCCTACCTAGCTCGGGATTGCGATGATTGTTTTGTTTTGTTTTGTTTTGTTTTGTTTTGTTTATTGTTCTCGTGAGGCTGGGGGTAGACCCTTCCTCTCTAGTTGGAGGGGACTCCGCGCTCCTGCCGCGACACCGCGGAACCTTAGCACCTCCTTCCCGGGACAGCGCCAGGACGCGAAGACAAGACTCTGGCCCCAAATTAAAAACCCAAACTCCAGTATCCTATGACCCCAACACTCACCATAATGGGCCTGGAGGAAATTGGAGGAGAAACAACTTCGCACAAAGAATTCATTCTGGAAACTGGAAAAAGCCATGTCAGACCAACTGAACGTCTCCGTTTTGTAGCGCTGTGAAGGAAACGTAGGCGGATTCGACTTCCAATTGTGCCTCTAAAACTTATTAGCAGAGATTCCCTAAGCAATTTATGTACCTACATTCTGAGACACATTCTCCTTTGTGCAACGGAGGCTACGCGTGTCTTTCTCCCTGTGGTGTTGTAAGAGTTAAATGAGGCAAACCACCCAGCAGGGGGCTCTGACGGCTCCTTCACCGGGGCTCTGACCAGAAGATCTCCGCTCCCAAAAGGGAAAGCCCCTGAGAATCTGGCACAGAAACCTTAGACCTAAACGAGACCGTATTTCTCCCAAAGGAAGACTGATTTCCTGTGCCAGGCATCTCTTACACCGATTGCTCCAGATTCCATTTAATAACTGACTCTTAAGAGAGTTATATTTTTCACATTTTCCTTTATCTAGATTGCCTGGATAGGGATCCTATTATGACAAATGACAGGCGTTTGGAAAATTTTTCCATTTTAGTGCAGCGTGTGGAATTATTTGCCCTGAATATGGTTAAAAGGTAAGTATGGTTACAGAAAGGCATGCTAATACCACCCCTGAATCCAAATGCACAGATAAAAAATCCTGGTGATTTGCCAAGGAGAATGGGGTTGGGGAAAAAAATAACATTCGAGGAAGGAATGGACTATGTCTGATTAACCAAAGGGAGAGGGGAGGATGAAAAGATGAGATTCATTGTTTCGTTAAGAAGTTGCCATCCCTTTAACAATATTGGGAGCCCCCCTTTTTTTAATTATCAAACATTTGAGGAAAGCAGCTGTCCAAAAAAACTCTCCAATCTATAATTCAATTTACGTAAAACCCGGTTACTACCTGAAATATCCCTGAGGTCTTTTTTTTCTACAAAACTTAACCCAAATCAGAGCATTTTCCCTTTTGTAATTAACATGCTGCCTGCCCTGTTCTTTCTCAAGAACCCTTCAGTCTCAGATTTTTCCACCTCGGTTTTGTACCAGACCCTCTGAAGAATTGTTGCAAATGGGATCAAAGCTTGTAACCTCATGGGCAGTAAGATTCTAATAGTTCACAATGAGTTTGCCCTTGGGGGACCAAATGTAGGAGATATTAATAAAATGCACTTCATCTCAACCTGGCAGCAAATCATGGTAGGAATCTCTCTATTAAAACAACGTTTGTGGTCATTTCGTGTGTCTGCCTTGAATGACCGGTTGCTTCACTGCCCTCTTCCTTCACATTTGGCTTGCTTCCTTTTGAATGTTTTTGGCACATCACAACTCAGTGCTGTGTCTGCACTTTGCTGTCTGCATTTGTGTCTGGTCATTTCTCTGGATGGACTGTTGAACCCAAATTATCTAACTCTCCACTGAGTCAGGAAGGAAGAAAGCCAGGATGGGAGAGAAACAAGATGAGAGATGTAAAATTTCAATCCTGCTGTTAAGAAAAGACCCAATGCGGTTGCAAGCCTTACATTTTCATTCTTCTTTCTTGTAAAGGGATTACAGCCTCAGGTCTGTTCTTACCCTCCAATTCTGTGTTTCATGCTTGTCTCCTAAAAAATAGCGAAATAGCATTCAAGAGGTAAGGAAACAGGTGTTAAAAGTACACATGTCAAAGTGGTGGTCTGACATGGAATTAAACAAGAGATACGGGGAAGGCCCATTTCCCTTTTCCCTGCTGCCTCCTTGGCCTCAAAACCCATCTTCCATGAGCTCAGAACAAAAGGTAAGGGGATGAAGACAATAGGCTGTGGATCTGTATGTAGTTTTTGAACTGAGGTATGTGGATTCCAGGATCACACTCACTGTTCAGTTCACCCCTCTTTGACCAGGTGTGCTTATTGCAAAATTTCCATTCCACTCTTACTATTACATTGTCTGATTTTCCCTTAACCCAGTGCTAGCTCTGTTGGATTCCTTTAGGAAGCAGAAGTTGACTGTCAGCTACACCCTTTTTAATGGTGCTCATTTTGAAGACCGTTCCACTCAGGGAAGAGTAGGGTTTGGCCTGTGTTTCAGTCCTCGGAGTCACCAGGCATTTTGACTCATCTGTTTTGCATAGACTGCACCTACGTGTTGTATTGGATAAAAGCTTCACAGTCATGCTCCAGAAGTGACTGATGATTCTCTCCAAATTGCTGAGCAGTCGCCCGGAATTGCTTGTGTTACTTCAAATGCCCAGTGGCCCATCTGCTCTCCCCATGCCATTCTCTTACTCTTTTTCTTTCTCTCCTAAGTCTTGTTGAATCTACTCAAAACACACTACCAAACACAAAGCATCTAGAATGATAGAGCATCCGAGTTTTGATTCACATGATTGAATTCACACAGGAGAGAAGAAAAGCAAAGCTGGTGGGAAACTGACAGAGACGGGAAAGGGGCAGAATGGGTAGGTCTCTACAGTTGTATCCAAGCAATGGATAAAATAATTGGAAAGTTAAATTGGCAGAACCTCATCATTAAAGACAGTCTGTAGTTGGTATTGGTGGATATGAAAAATACACACAGAGCAAGGAAACAGACAGTAGGCAACAGGTTTCAAAGACTGTTCACACATTTTACACCCCTCTTTTGTTTGTTTATGTAATTTTTTTTCTTTTGTGTTTTGGAAACATTATTTCTTTGGGAGAAACTCTGAATACTGTTCATAGGTTTAAAATTGACCTTTCCTGATAAGAAACCTGGAGCACTAGAGAAGATTAGTGTGATTAGTTGTGAATAAGGGCTAATTTTCCAGGGTCAGACTACATTATGATAGATTAAAAATGTCTAAGTATTATTTCCCAAGTGCTTCATTTCCAAAAGCATAGGATGGCATATCTCTGTCATGGTGACATGGTAAGTCCCTGACAACAGAAAGCTTGCCTTATTTAGTAAGGGCACTGATTCATTAGTACCAGTTTCCTCATGATTATTTTAATATCTTAAGATATTAGCCAAAAAATATGTGAATTTCTGTCTTAGTCCGTTTAGACTGCTATAACAAAATGCCATAGACTTAACAAACACTTATTTCTCAGTTCTGGGCAGTGCAAGGTCAAGGCACCAGCAGATTCGGTGTCTGGTGAGAGCCTTCTCTCTGGTTTGCAAATGGCCACCTTCCTCACATGGTGGAGAAAGATCATCTCTCTCATGTCTCTTATGAGTATTAGGGTACTAATACCATTTGTGAGGGCTTTGCCCTCATTACCTAATTATCTCCCAAAGACCCACCTCCAAATACTATCATATTGGGCATTAGGGTTTCAACATGTAAATTGGTGGAGGCTGGGGGTGGACACATTCATTTCATAGGAATGCCCCAGAAACACTATTTTTTTTGGCAGTATATATGATAATTTATTATTTTGATTTGTTGGAGTATTACTACACAAATTTATATACGGTTTTAAGAAAATATTATGGAGAAGTTTTTTTGCAACTTTTAATTCCACATAAAGAAGAGACAGAGCAATGACATCCCAACAATAATTTCTTTAGAAGTCTGGTGTAAAAAACCACAGAGAACATTCTTAACTGAAAATACATGAATTAGATTCTAAATGCATTCTCTATCATTTAAGACATGGAGAAAAAAGGAACAAAGAAAATTCTTAAGTTTACCATTTGCAAGAGGAGTTTATGTAATTTCAACAATCTCTTATCTAGGCATTTAACACATTATAAATTCAAAATTTGCGTGGGAATTAAGAGAAGAAATAGTATTCCTTAGAGGGAATACAAAGTTTATTCAAACATTTAAAATAATTTAAAACAACCAGTGACACAACACTCACTATTTTAAATACAGATATGAATTTTCTCTGAATAGGGCAGCAAAATCCTCATATAAACCTCATTTACCATTTTTACCTGATGGTATCAATAACCTCTCCTTCTAAACATTTTAATTCACAAAAATACTAATGCAAAAGCTTTAGTAAAATTGTAGTGAATTTATATACTGACTTGTCAGTGGAATTTATACACCGTCTTGTGTGGCATTTATATACGGACTTGTCAGTGACTAGCTGGGGAAAAAATTATGTTA